GTGTGCGTTTAAAGCCGCCTCTGTGGTCACCACCTAAAAGGGTCAAACATGGGTGCTTCCTATTCTTTATGCTCTCATTCCACTACCCTCTCCACTCACACCCTTCTGCACTCACATCCCAAAGCCACTGCCTTTTCTCATATAAGACAATCTGGATTACCAAATCCATCTTTCAAATTGAATCCAACCAATCAAATATTCCAGACCCATCTCAGGATCATGGCCCAACCCTCGCAAGTTTTGCCTCTCCAGGGTGGGAAAGTTGAAGTTGGGGAGACCCAAGAGGGAAATGGCACAAGACCCTTGTTGGATTTTCATAGGATTGATCAGGAATTGGTTGAGAAGATTGTGTACGATGCTCTTGTTTGGAGCTCTCTTCATGGGCTTGTTGTTGGTGACAAGTCTGTTCAGGTCAGTGGTACTGCTCAGCTAATTGTTTGTTTGGTTTCAGCTGATGAAAATGGAAAAAATTGAAATTTGAAGGTTTTATTTTCTTTCTTAATTTTCGTTTTTGTGGTCTGAGAAGTCTTTAGTTACTTGAAAAATGAAACACTTGATTCAGCGTATGATTGTTGAAGATTAGATTGAGATTTCCTGAGAATCATATTCAATTTTTGTTTTTCATTTGCTTTTCTTTTCTCCCAGTTTTTAGACAACCAATGTTAGAAACATGTTTATTGTCTAAGAATACTATAAATAAATAAAAGTGATTCGAGAGAACAGCTTACCTCGGTATTAATTTTTACATGGCACCCAAGTGCTTGTTCCGGGTTGGCAAAAGAAGAAGTGCTTGCTCCGGAATTGTTTTCTTAAAGCTATAGTTCATCTTTGTAATTGTACGTGAAAAAAAAAAGGCTCTACTTTTAAACAAATGAGCAGACTTTTGGTTACCAGAAGCTATTGGAAATTATACTCTACGATGATTTGTCAGTGTATAACTTAAAATCTGAAATTTGATGTTGGATGCTGTAAATTACAGAGATCAGGAAAAGTACCTGGTGTGGGCATGGTACATGCACCGTTTGCTTTATTGCCGATGCCGTTTCCAGAAAGTCATTGGAAGCAAGCGTGTGAGTTAGCCCCCATATTTAATGAACTTGTTGATCGAGTGAGTTTGGATGCAAAGTTTCTGCAGGATTCACTGTCCAGGTATTTTTGCACGTAGTATTTTTAATTATGTACGTGATTTTGAAAATGAGCATGCTGGAAATTTAGTTTAAATTATCCTAGGAAAGCCTTATCCAATCTGCTTGACTTGGGTGTGTCAAATAAGAATAGTTGTGGTATATCTGGCCGGCTAGGCAGCATGGTATGGAGCTTGTCTTGCACTTAAATTGTGCCTAAGAAAGAATGTTCAACCTCAGCTAGGGATATACTTGTCCCTAACAAGCTTACTTTGAACTTTAAAGGATTGGGTATGGGGATAAGATAGAAAATCAACATACATGACAGCTACAGCTTTTGTCTATTGTCTCTAGAGATTAGAGCTCATGAACTAATATAATCTTGATATCGCAGAACGAAGAAATCGGATGCTTTTACATCTGGACTTCTATATATTCATTCCAAGATGCAAGAGATTAACAAGAAAGAGGTAAATGGTATATGAGTACAACATGTGGAAACTAGTTATTGTGAAAGGAGAACTTAATCTACATTGAATGTGATTTAGTTGAATATCTCCAGATTATGGTAGTGTTGTTCTTATAAATTTTCTGGATGATTTTCTTATAGTTGCCTATATTACAAGTTATATGAAAGATAGACATACTCAGAATATGATACAATGGACAGACAGGAGTATTACAGTATCTAGTTCTGGGCGCCACTTATATGTTGATTTTATTTTATTTTCTTTGGGTCCTGTTTGGTGTAAGTGGATAACTTTTTTGTTCGTTGGTGGTGAAGATGCTAAACTATTTTAATTACTTAAACAGGATATACGCTTGGGTTTACATCGCTCAGATTATATGCTTGATGAACAAACTAAACTACTCCTTCAGATAGAGATGAACACAATTTCATGTTCATTTCCAGGACTTGGTTGTCTTGTCAGTGATCTTCACAGGTTAAGTAGTAGGAGATCTCGTAATTAATATGTATTCATTGATTCGCTCATGAATTTCTGACTAGTCAATGTAATGCTGGGTTCAACTTATGAAATTATTCCTGTATGTTAAAAGTCCACCAAAATTAGAAGCATATTGGTGGTTTTTGTATGTCAGATATTGCAGTAACGGTGAAAATGGCCCATAAATTTTCCATATCATAATGTGTTTATATGTGGTGTTAAAAGTGATATGCATTCCAAAGACTTCCTACAGACTGCAAACTTTGTGCTTTTCAAACATAGAAATCAATCATATTTTGAGTCTTGGATGCATAAAGGTCTCGATTATTAATTTCCAAAACAATCTTTTGACCGTTGGTTCAACTAGTAAAGGTTCAGGGTGTGGTGGGTCCAGGTCTTTCCTTCGAAGTTAAACGATTGCAATTGGAAGAAGTATCCTATGAAATTTCTATACTTAGCCACATAGGTTTTCATTATATTCTTCCAAACCATGTTGATATTTATTTGTATGTGTGTATATCTGTTGATATTCTCATATCCAATGCTAAAAAATTAAGCATAATAAGGTTACCAAGTATTTTACCCTTAGCTTCTCATTTTCCAGGAGCTTACTCAACCACTATGGAGAATTTCTTGGATTGGATTCCAAAAGAGTTCCTAATAATCCTGCAGCCAGTCAGTTTGTAGAGGCTTTGGCTAAAGCTTGGACGGAATACAATAACCCAAGGTTAGAGCTGACACAATGTCTCATTTGTTCCTTCTGCTGCTGCCACTTTCAGCAAAGTGAATAAAGGTACGGTTAACTCCAAATATATGTGCAGGGCTGTAGTCATGTTCGTGGTTCAGGCTGATGAACGCAACATGTATGACCAACACTGGCTTTCTGCCCTATTGAAAGAAATATATCCTTTTTAGCTTACAACAAGCTTTATGTTGGAGGAAGTGGTATCTCTAGGAAAATGTATACTTTTAGTTATATAAGCTTATATCTTTGATAGGACGCTAGTTTACAAAATTCATAAATAGTCATGTTCCTTAACTGTATAACACACATAATGTATCAACTCTTCGGAAAACATTGGCAGAAATTGACACAGAGGGGGAGCTTCTACCAGATGGAACACTTGTTGTGTATGTAGCCTTATTAGCTGTGGAAAGTTCATTATACTAATCTAGATTTGTGGATCGAGCATGTTATATCTTTGACTTTAATGTCTTGAAATGCCTTTAACTTGCAGGGGTGGCCAAGCAATTGCTGTTGTGTATTTCAGAGCTGGGTACACACCAAATGATTATCCTTCTGAATCAGTAAGCAAGTCTTACTTTCCTGCTACTCAAATACTGATTCTTTTTTAAGAAGAATGTGACATTCTTCCTTGTAGTGGTGAGCTTCTGTTTCAGTAGCAGAAAATGTAGTTACTTATCTACAAAAAGGGTACAAAGTAGAAGAGGAAATGTCAAGTCCATAAAGGCATATGTAGATCTGTTCTATATCTGTTGGGTGTGACTTTGGTGGGCTAATCCTGCATGTGTTTATATTTGTATGATTGGACATGTAAGTGTGAATATCTCTTGGATGTTGTTCCATGCTTTTTACGCACATGATCATTCTTGGATGTCTTTATTTTGTTAACTTGACTTGAAATATGCTTAAGATGATACTTAAAAGGCTACTTATAAAAGAAATATGATACTTCGATTTCAAAAATGTGTCCTCAGAATATGATGTCTATTGTATGGCTTTTAGTACCATGTTTTTTTAATTTGTAGGAGTGGAGAGCAAGGCTACTCATGGAGCAGTCATCTGCCATCAAGTGCCCCTCAATTTCTTATCATCTAGCAGGGACCAAAAAGATCCAACAAGAACTTGTGAAGCCTAATGTTCTTGAGAGGTTATTTCTGGATTTAAGTTCCATCCATTGTTACATTATTATCCTAACAGTTTTAATACTCTGTTTTTGGAGCTGGTAGCTAGAAGTGTAGTGAATTGTGTGAATCATATATTTGTTTCTTTGAGATAATGAGAAGCTCAGTGTGTGCTTTTCTTGACTTTAAGAAAGAATGGTAACTGTTGTTATAACCACTAACCTCAAAGCTTTCTATCATCTTCATGTGAGCAGGTTTGTTGACAATAAAGAGGACATTGCAAAATTGCGGAAATGCTTTGCAGGATTGTGGAGTTTGGATGACTCGGATATCGTAAAAGACGCAATAGAAAGGCCTGGATTATATGTTATGAAGCCCCAAAGAGAAGGCGGAGGTCCGCATTCCTAAACTTTACTCTGCTGTTGTAGTAATGACAAGTATTATTAACGATTAATTATTACACTTCAGGGAACAATATCTATGGCAATGACGTGAGGGAAGCCCTCGTGAGATTGCAGAAAGAAGGATCAGAAGCAGATGCTGCTTATATCCTAATGCAGAGGATATTCCCTATTGTTTCTCACACACTCTTGATGCGCAATGGCATTTGTTATAAAGATGATACTGTATCTGAGCTGGGGATATATGGTGCTTACTTAAGGTATATGACTAATTTTTGGGGTTTTTGTTTCATTTTTCTCTTTATTGGGGCCGGGTCGTTCCATCAAATTGTTCTGTTGGCATTGTTGGTAAGGTGCTAACAAAGCTGTAGCCAAAGTTATAGAATCATAGTGCCACATTTTTCATATTTGCAGGAACAAAGAGAAAGTGATCTTGAATGACCAGTGTGGCTACCTGATGCGGACCAAGGCTGCTTCATCAGATGAAGGTGGAGTTGCAGCTGGATTTGCAGTCTTAGATAGTTTATATTTAACCTGAGGAATCTGGCTTCCTAATTCTGCTTAAATGGGTTGATTCGTAGAGCCAAATACTTCACGGTTGATTTATTTACTCATAATAAAACATACCACAAGATCCGAGAGGTTACTGAATTTTGACAAGTCAAAACACATTTTTCATGTATTTGTTCCCATTTTCGCTTCATTTATTTACAGAGAGAAAAGAGCAGTAATTCCATTTGTGAACACTATAGCACGACAAATTTCTCCTTACCCCTACTTTCTTAAAATATATGGGAATGATAAGATAAGATGGATAATACAGGCCCAACTTCAAAATCCTGAAAGTTTCATTCTCAAAACTATAAAACATTAAAAGCCTGAAAGTATTCATATCCGCAAGAAAGGCCTCGAAGCATCAGTTGTACATGCAGTCTTGCAAATGAAGGCCAAACATGACCAAGTTGAAAAACATAAAACAAAAGAAAAATATTGGTAATGCCTTGATTCAAGAATTATCTGTCCATCCAAGCTCCCTAGCTCGTCTCTCCCATACTTCTGAAAGCCTAAGCTCTTCTACAAGTTCTGCTTGAGCCCTCTCCCTTGCTTCTTCACATGTTTCAACTCCTGCATTGCATTTTTCTGCCTCTTTTTGGTAGTGCAAAGAGACTCTCCTTGCACCCATCAACAATGCATCGGTCCGTTGCAAGGTTTCGTTCGCTACAGTTTGCTGCAAACTTAGCTCCTCCGACATCAAGGCTATGATATCCTTCTCCATTTCCTCTTTCACTTCTGGTTCATGTTTACCACAATCTGCATTACCAAAAAAAAAATAAAATAAAAATAAAAAAAATCAACCGACAATGTTCTTCTGAAACAGGAAAGAAACGAGAACTCAAGACAGGGTTGAACTGACCTGAAAATGAGCTATTGATAATATCTGGTAAGTGACATGAAAAAGGAGGTTAATATATGATGTATTTCCATAAATAAGCTTAGCAGAATATCATATCTTAATGTCAACCTAATACAAAACATATATGGAAGTCGGAATTTCATATCTTTCTATGTAAACTCACATAGAAAGATAACCAATTTAATATACTTGACCCAACGAACAACGCCCAAGTACGCTCCTTTATTAGAACCTCAGGCTTCGAACATGAAAATTATAGAAATTTAAGACTAATTTAACAATTTGCTCTGCAAAACCAAAAATAGGAACATGCCTTCGAAAACAATTGTTAACTCAAATTGAACCAACATTTCTATATTTGATATGACTGCATTAACAATCATTGAAAAGTGAATCTCACCTACAGGTATAGGGTCGAAATCTTTTGAACAATCACAAGGACACTGAGGGCATGAACCTTTCTCCTTCAAGCTCCAGTGCAAAGATGGACGTATGGTGTACCCAACCAAACACACTGCCACTAAAACAAAAACCAGCCTCACAACACCATTAGTACAAAACCCGTGGTCTGGTGGATGAGCCATCTATTTCCCACCCAAAATAAGAAGAAAAAAAGGCAAAACCCAACTTCGGTTTGTTTGTTTCCAAATTTGCAGAATGCCCAAAATCAGATATCAAAAACTCATTTTCAGGATCTGGGTTACATACTCATATAATATAAATAAAACTCAGAACTTCACAGCAATTTTAATGAATTCTAAGAATGTGCGCAATAATGGCATAAATAAATTAACAATATCCAATCAAAGATGCCCACTTCAAGATCTGGGACCTACAATGAGAATCTGACTAACTCAGTGACTGAAGCACATTCAAGAACTTTTGCTTCAAATCAGGTGAATTTTATATCTTTGTGTATGTGTGTGAAAGACAACCTCTGCTTTTTCCGCCAAAATAAAGGAAACCCAGATCCCGGTAAAGTATAAAGGACTGATTTGAAGAATTTTGCAGAGAGAGAGAGAGAGAGGGTGGCAGTGTGAGAGAGAAGGAAAGATTCGGTTAACGAGTTTGGGTTGAATAAGAATGTTGCTTTGATGATGGTGTTTGTTTGAGAACAGGAAACCTTTCTTTTGTGAAAGATCTTATTTGGCCAATGTTGGCACAGTACGTGTCATTCTCTAGACACACCCAGCCACCAGTCAAATGCTCCATTTCATTTTTCACGATCATCCTCGCGCATTATGTTAAAGCAGGTTGCTCTGCTCTGGGTCCAAGTGGAACAAACAAGTAGTTTCCAGCTTCAGTAGGCCATTGCTTGTGCTAGTTTGCACCTGAATTTTTCGGTTTTAATTTAGCCCTTCAGTAAAAAGCAATAGAGAGAGGGGCCAATTGTGTGCGGCTTGAGCCCAAACTAAGGACCGCATGTTTGATTAGTTTGCCATCTAAAATGTCATTTGATGCCCATTTCGGAAAAGCCCTGTTTGCCATGCATTCACATCCATCTCCTGTCCAAAATCAGTCAAGCATGCAAATTTCATTCTTTCAACAAATCCAAACTACATAACCCTAATTTAGCCCATCGAATCCTCACAACAAAGAAATCAGTAAAATTCTGAACTCCAATTGATATTGCTAATTTCTATTTCCAGCATTCAAGAGATACTATGAACATACAACAATTAACTACATGTTAAATCAAAAGACTTCCCAACCCAATTGTTGAGTGTAGAAACTGATTTTCTCTTATATTATTATTTAAGGTTTTTTAGGTTTTAGACATAAAAAAATTTTCACTTTTGGAAAAAGCCAAAGCTTTTTCAAAAAAGACAAAAAAACCACTCAACTTTCAAATCAAAGACATGCAAATGTATTGGATTCCTTAGGAAATCTAAAAATAAATAAGGGCATTTTTGTCCATTTTTGCTTCTTTTAAAATTTTTCTCTCTCCTTTTGCTTTTTCCAAAATGTCCCTATTATTTATATGATCATTATACAATATATATAAAGTATGTAGAGAATAATCTACAGTTACAACAAGTCATTATCACAAACATAAATATGGAGTTATGGCCTAATAACAACGTAACTGACAACTGACCATTTCCTATCATTAGTAGGATTAACTATTGTAACTGAAATACTATTGTAACTCCATAACACTCCCCCGCAAATCGAGCGCCCACAGCATAGCAAGATTTGAATGAAGAAATCACATGGTGATGGAGATGGCAATAGCAGTCGTTTGTAGTAGTCTAGTAAGGGAAACAAAAAAGAAGAACTCCATAGGTGCGACAACGGCTTGAGAGAAACAAAGTAATAGAAAAATAAAAATAATGCCCATTGAGAGGCAGCAAGTGAAGGAGTGCATGGGCTCATGGAAGGAGGGAATAAAATGAAGGGCTAACATACAAGTCTAATGTACCTAGGGAACAACTCTAGGCACCTGAGAAACATAACTCTACCTAGGAATCACCTCTAGGTAGGATAAAGAGCATGCAATAAGCGGGAAAATAAAGGGATGGGGAAGTGAAACCCATCATCAAGTGGGAAAGGCCAGAAAGTCATGCACAAAGAGAGAGAAACACAATTTTAAAAGTAAAGGGATGGGGAAGAAAAAAAGAACCACAAAAAAGAGAAGAAACACTTGCCATTGGACATAGATAAATTAAAAGGAGCGTGAGAAAGAAGGCTCTTGAGACAAGTACATAAATAAATTACAATTTTTTAAATAAAATAAATATTAGAAAATAAGAGAAAAACCCAGCACGTGGAAAGCATAGAAATATAGAGCTTAAGAGAGAGAGCTAAGCACAGGGATATCAGTGGTGTGCAGAGAAGATTACAAAGATAACAATGAAAAAGGTTGAAGAAGGAAGAGAGAGAAAAGAGAACTCCTTGACAGGGAGGGACAAAGTCTCTCCAACAGAAAGATGTGTCAAAGAGAAAAGAACAGCAGATGATAGGAGGTGAAACCAATTTGGGACACAGAGAAAAGAAAACGAGAGCATGGACAAGGTTGAATTTCAAAGCACCATAGAGACAATAAGATATGGGGAAGAAAACCACGGGGGAACAGAGAAATAATAAAGAGAAGATTATCACAAGAGGATAGAGGCCCATATAGATTAAAATAAAGAGGGATGATTGACCCAAAAAAATAAAATAATAAGAAATAAAGGAGGAAACCAAGTGAGACAGAGAAATGAAAAGAGAGTGTAGGTAAAACACAGAGTTAAAATCCTTTCAAAATAAAGACGGAAAAATGAGAGAAAGAAAGAGATGAGAAAAGGTAACACCCATCAAAAGGAGAAAGTAGGCAAGAAAGGGAGAGAGAACAAGATGCAAGAGACAACCCATGAAAAGGAATGGAAACTCAAGATGCCAAAGACAACCCATGACAGGGAGATAGACAACACAATTGAAAAGAAGAGAGGAGAATATCCCAGTAACATAAAAGAATTATAAAGAAAAGAAAACAATACCCTTGCAACAGAGAAGAAGAAAGGCAAGGCAAGAGAGTATTGAAGAAGACAGAGACCAACAGTAAAATCAAAGAAAGAGATTGGGCTGAAGAGGGGAGGGGAACACAAGTTGAGCATAGATAGAGCGTGAGAGGCCGATACCAAGGCAGCAACACAGTAATAGGGCTTAAGTGGCCGATACCAAGTCGGCAACACAGAGGAAGAAACAAGGGCTGTGCAAAGGGAACATTGGCTGTGTAGCACGGCAAAGAAGGCTCGGCGAGCGTTGATGAGGCTTACGGAGGAAAGAGAGACGGCTCGTTGAGCGATGACAGATAGCATCAACAAACAATGGGAAAGAATGGACACCACGATAGAGAAACCATCATAAAATACATGAGAGAGAGAAACCATAAAAAATACATGAGAGAGAAACCACAATTGCAGACTAGGAAAAGTGAAAGGAAATGAAGTTTTTATTTTATTTTATTTTATTTATAGATATGGGCTTCTAATAAAAACAAAATAAGGAAGGGAAGAATTCAGGTGAGGAGCACGAGTGTTTGGGCAGGAGAGAGAGATGAAGCTTAAGGGAATGAAGGGGAAGCATGAATGTAGATAGATATTGGAAAAATGGGGGGCTCATGACACCAAAGAGGGAGTTTCTTATATTATTCATATGATAATTATACAATATATATAAAGTATGTAGAGAATAATCTACAGATACAACAAGTCATTATCACAAACATAAATATGGAGTTATTGCCTAATAACAATGTAACTGACAACTGACCATTTCCTATTATTAGTAGGATTAACTATTGTAACTGAAATACTATTGTAACTCCATATCACTGAGGAGCCTAGTTTATATGCTAAAAGAATCAGTTTGGTTTCAAGACTCGCACAATCAATTTGATTGCTGAATCTTTTCACCAGTTTCATGCCAAATGTCTTCACTTTCTCCGCTGTCTTCCGAGTCAGCTAGACGGTTGAAAAAGGTATCAAGGTACCAGGGGCAACGCTCATTCCAATCACCCCCGTTGGCATGGGCTCGCCACTTTTGGTCAGCTATCATTTCAGGGGAGAGACCCCATTCTACTAGTTGTTCCTCGCTGTGATGGATTGCTAAGCTGTATTCTCCGCCCTTTCCTAATTGCATCACTTGAAATTCGCAATTTCCAAGATTGTTTAGGTGCTCGAATTGCTCAACCGTCCACTTGAACCACTTCATGAGGAAGACGCGCGACGTCAACCCATGTGATACTATTATAAGATTGAGGTCATGGCAAGGGTCATGGCGAAGCCTGTTCATGTCAATGTCCCTCCATAATGATTCAAGAAAACCTGCAATTATCTTTGTTATTAGGCAATATATTCATTTCGATATAGAAAGCTGTATCCAACAATCAAATACATACATAAGCAAACTTTTCAGGACCTCCATATATTCATCTCATCAGCAAGTGTGATTTCACGTTTTCATTACAAATCTAAAGCTGCATTTCATGGTCTGGTTCAACCTCAAACCCTGCTAATTATCTAAACGTTCCACTTAAGGTTTCATCAAATTCGAAACCACTCCACTCAGAATAAAAAATGGAATGCAAAATAACCCAACAAAATAAAGTTAAGTTTTGGACTTTACCGCAAACACAAACAAGCTACCAAATTCCCAATTGGGTTATCTTGCAAATCCTAAACCATCACTTCTTAAGTTTTGGACATTGCCAAAATGCTCATCAAAACAAAAACAAACAACTAAAGCAAAAACCCAAAAAGAAAAAAACGTACTTGAAACACGATCGTAGACATCAGCGGCGGACTCTCCCTCCGGATTCCGAAAGAAGAAGCGGCCAAACTTCTCCTTGGTCTCCTTAATGGCCTTGAAACGATCCTGCGCTTGAAAGTTGCCGAAGTCCTGCTCCCGTAGCCGGCACTCCTCGCGGACGCCGATGACACGTGTCCGGGAGAAGGACCGTCCGATCTGACAAAGCGTGGAGCGCGTCCTCTCGTAGGGAGAGACGTAGAAGTAGACGCGCCAGTTGGGGTTGTTGGTGTCGATGTCGGAGATGACGCGGTGGAGGTGGGCGCCGGCGAGGTGGGCCTGGGCCAGGCCCACGTCCGTTAGTGGGATTTTGTTGTGGGGGGTGGTGGAGTAGGTGGCGATGTCTATATTGGCCTGAGACTCGCCATGCCGCATTAAGATTATCCGCTTCGGAAGAACTGGCTGCGGTTTGCTCTTGCAATTTTGCTGCTGCATTTTATGATCCTCTTCTCTTGTCTTTGTCTTCTGGGTCTTGAGATATTGGATTTCAATTTCTCTTTCTCTTTAGCAGTCTGAATGTGAATCTCTATGTCTCTCTCTCTCTCGGATTCTCAGTCTGAATGTGCAATGTGTAATTTATAATAGGCTTCCCCAAATCTCCTCCTTTTTTTCTTGGAAAGAAAATATTAATTTCATAGTTGTATTGAATTCTGTATTCAAAACACGTCTGAATTGAATTGAATTCTTGACCTGAATTGAATTGGTAGACTCCTTCTGTCTTGCCTTGGGCTCCGTGCTTGTCGGTTCTGCTTCCCTTCCTGACCTGCCTGAAGACTACAAGGAAAAAGCAGTGAATAATCTCCCATAGCACTCCCTTGAATGAGACCTGTTAGTTACTAATTTTAATAACATTGTGACAGTTGATAATGCATGGACATCCCCAACGGCAAGCAAGTAATAACAGGATATATGACTTTAAAATCCAAAGAAGATTCAAAGAGAGTCATGCCCATAAACCAAGAAATCTTCCACTCTGAGAAAAGTTTGAGCAAAGTGTAGGCTGGGTTGTACATATCCTTCCACACGTCAAATGTTTGTCAGCAGCTTTGCTAGTTGTACAAGTCAAGACATTCACATAAATGTTTTATATATATATGGATTGTGTAATGGGTTTTGAGCTGGAATGCCGCCCCGATGGGTGCTTTTTCCATGTCCTTTTACCCCTTTTATTAAGGAAAAAAGAAGAAGAGTAAGGGCACTTTTGACTTTTCGGGTTTCATTTGTGCCGATTTTGCAACATGTTTCAAGTTGATGAGTTTTTCAGTGAATCCAACGGTGCAGGATAAAAATAGAAAATGAAACAACATGATGGAGACGCGGGGAATCGAACCCCGTGCCTCTCGCATGCGAAGCGAGCGCTCTACCATATGAGCTACGTCCCCGTCGATGTTCAATCTCGTTGAACTTTAATATTTAAACGACACCGCATAGTGTTTGAAAGTAAAAGCTTCGTCGACGGCTTCAACATCACATTGGGAATTATATCTCAGATAAATTTGATCCCTCCTCCAGCTCCAGCTGACTTGTTTAGCTAGCCTACTTTAAGCATTATATTAATTTATTGTCACTTGTTTTCTCAACCGCTTCAACACACAACAATTAAAGGTTGGCCATTTCAAACTGTTGATCGGTCATATGGGACCCAATTGGCTGATCTATATTTGCTCCACTGAGACTTGAAATTTCCGGGTAGATGGTCGGTTTGGGCTCAAAACCCAGCCCTAGCTCAATCCACAACTGTGGCATAGTTTCCTCCACTAATTTGGATAACAGCCGATAGGATGTTCAAGCTAACACAAGTGTCGATATGTCCGAGTGGTTAAGGAGACAGACTTGAAATCTGTTGGGCTTCGCCCGCGCAGGTTCGAACCCTGCTGTCGACGATTTTGGTAGAAACCTTTTTTCACTTTGCCCTCTCTCATAACCATACTCTTTCAGGTTTTTTTGACCAAATAACATGCAAACTGCACTGGGAAAATTCTGAACCAAATTGTACTCTATATACAATTTTTTACATTAATGAATACCTATTAAATGAAAAATTATTGTGTGATAAAGCTACGTTAATTCACGTTTATAATATGAGATGGAGAACGAATTTATACATTAATTCAAAAATGTAATAAACAAGTATATACATATGGGTCAATTAGATCTTAACCCAAATTTGAAATACTCAGCCACCTAAGATTCACCTAAAATTTCACTTTTTTTTTTAATCTATTCAAATATTAACTTGAGTGTATTTTTAATTTTTCAGTTGTAACATCCAGACGAAAACATCTTGTAATTAATTTGACATCTTATAATACGTGTGTGCTAGCACAACAATATAGAACACAGGGATGTATTTCTATTCATCATCTGCACATGATCAAACAAAAGAGATGCATCAAACTTAGGGGTGGCATTTTAGACCGAAAAACCGCAAAAACCAATCGATAATTTACCGCAATGGAACCGCAATCATGAGAAACCGAACCGCATTTGCGGTATGAAGAACCGAACCACATTTGCGGTGCGATTACGGTATTTGATTTTCAAAACTTGCAGTTACCGCAAACCGTCATTATATATTTTTTTTAATAAAAAAAATTGCATTTTATTGTTTAATTGTAGCCGTTAGATGCTCAAACAACAGAACGAGGTCCTTCAAATTTACTCACCACCACCAACAATTGAGTTTGTAACTTTAGTTTGTAACATTGGTGCATTGCATTTTCCTTTTAGTTTGTAACTTTAATTAACTTTGAATTGGATTTTTCCTTTGGGTTGTAACTTTAATTCATTTTGCATTGCATTTTCCTTTTGATTTGTAACTTTAAGATTTTGAATTGGAATACTTAAGAAGTTGAGGTTGTGAATGCTTGAGAAGTTTAACTTTAATTGGAATGCTTGGAATTGTAACTTTAATTTTCTTTAGGTTATGAATGCTTGAGAAGTTGAGGAGGTTGTGAATTTATATATGCTTGAGAAGTTGAGGTTGTGAATTTATATTTTTGAGTTAAAATATGCTTGAACTCAGAATGCTTCAAAAGAAGTATCAAAATTAGGCCTAAAATGTGGAAGATTGGATTTTTAGGACACAAAAAGAATTTGCGGTTTTAAATCGCTAATTCATGGTAACCAACCGCTTTTTGCGGTTTCAAAAATCACCACACCGCAAATAGTCGGTCGGTTTACGTTTTGGGCAAAAATTCGCGGTTACCGAACCACAACCACCCCTAATCAAACTCATTGATTAACTTGAATTGAACCACGATTTATTCGTTACTTAGTCTCACGAATGCAATTTATTTGCATGGTTTATTTGCATGGTTTATCTGAATTGAACCACGTGGATGATTAGCTCTAGCTTATCTGCATGGTTTATACAATTTATTTTTTTTATTATTTTGGGGTCTAAAGTTAGTATTTAGATTTTCGACTTTAAAGTGTTGCCCAAAATTTAATACATAAAATCGGAGAAAAATTTACATATAACGGGATGTCATAGTGGAGGTATTGCACTGTAGAGAAATTGCACTACTATGTCGAAAAGTTAAAATATATGACAATGAGTGATTGATTTGAAATAACGCCACGGTAATATCCCATATGTATAGATAAATTGTTCTCCAATTATCTACTCAAAATTATAATTATTTTTTTCCTCTCGGACTAATGCACACGTCTTAAATAACCTCAACAAGAATCACATGAAGCTCATGACTAGTTAGGTAATAGCTTTTTAGTTACTACTTGTTTTACATGAAAACATTGAGTGTGGGATGTTTTGAAAATTCAAGGCCAGCAGACGATATTTTTGCCTAGCTATTTTTGCTTGCGTTTCATCATCTGCGCACTTCCTGCCTGCAGGCAATTGCAGAAATTCCTCACCGTCTACTTGATGTAATGATTCTGGACCCTCAAAATTTGTTGATCATACACACATCATCAACATTCTAATATAGATTCCACACGCTAATATAGATTAAACCATAGTACATGTACTACATAGTAAGGTAGATCGAAGTGGTTCTGCTCCATCCACGTGCGTACGATGTTGGGGGGGGATTTGAACTTGGGTGACTTGATAAGGATATTCTTAGGAACATGCATATTGAAGAATCTTTGGTTGATTTTGTTAACTGGCTAATAATAATAAGAGATTTGAACTTATCCATGCATATATATATATATATATATATATATATATTTCTATATGAGACTTACACAACCCACGTATTCACATGTACATATAACATGAAAATGGTCAATTGCATTGCATTCACTCTTTTTAAATGTATAGTTATTTTGGCTTGGCATAATAAAGTTGCACAACTCCATTGCCAATTTGCCATGGGCAGGGTCATCCTCTATCCACCGAATGCGACATTCCCTCGACATGAATTCCTAAAAAAGGGTTCGTACCAAGGTCCCATTTCCAAATTTAAATATCCAAAAAGGTAATGAGCATATAAAAAATATCTTCAAAGGTATATGCATCGGTGCCATATACAAAGTATTTGATTACAATTTTTTATTTTTTGTTGGAGAGCGACTAACAACGAAACGAGAGTTGAACTTTTATCGCGAGTGTAAGATTATATGGTCTTTAGCCAAAATTATAAGAACCCACATGTTCCATGGATAATGATTTGTATGTTTTTTGGATCTCGGTATAATTTTGGGAGGGTTATTTACTGAAATGGTCCCCCAATTTTTACTCCAGTATCATTTTGGTCTACTAATTAAAATATTAATAAATGGAGAGTTGAAGGACCATTGAAATGAAAATTTTAGTTTATAGACCAAATTGAGACTTGAGCAAAAATTTAGGGACCATTACCCATTTTGAGAGGTTGAAATGTTCACAAAACCTAGCCCACTTTAATTTTCAGTCAAAGTGAACTAGACCGCGTTTTGTTGATCAAACCAAATCAGCAAGCCAAGGGTTGAGGAGGAGCCGTCGATTTTGCACAACTTTGATTTTATTCTCCTGTGGGTCGCAGGTCAACACAATTCATTCACCTCATCACATGACAATATTTGTATTCGTTTATATTAAGGTAAATTACTCAAATGATCCTCAAATTTGTACCCGATTTACATTTTGGTCCTTAAACTAAATTATTCGTTCAAATGGTCCACCAACTCTTTATTAATCAGCGCTTTGGTCCTACCGTTACATTTTCTGTTAAATTTAGTCATGCGAGCAGCACATGCTACATTTATGGGGGTAAATAAGACTTTTGACAACTAAAAAATAAAAATATATGATTAAAAATTAATTAATACAAAATTTTCTTTATTTTTAAAATTAATTAAAAACTTTAAAAGAATAAAAAACAACAAGAAGTAAACAAAAAAAAAACCAAACGAAACCTCCCCAGCATCTCTCTCTCTATCTCTCTCTCTTTCTCTATGTATGTATTTTCTTCTCCCCAACGACCACCCCAGCCTCAGCCATAACCCACCCCTGAAAGAAGAGTGGGGAACCTCTCGCTGGTTTTTGGAATTCGACATAAGGAAGTGTTTCCCTCTCCCTCTGTATTTTCCTTTCCCCTACGACCATCCCAACCTCAAACACAACCGACCCCCAATCCTTACCCGTGACCCAACCCTAGCGACCACTTCTTAAACACAATCACCGAAGCCGATTTCTCGACCTCTGAGCCCTGATGATGATGTTGTAGAGGAAGAGGATGGGACATGGAGGGAGGGGAAGATATGTTGGGTTATGGGGAAGAGAAGATGGGGCGCTGGGGCAATGGGGTTATCGGGCTAGGGGTTTGGGGGCTAGGAGTTGGGAAATAGGTTTTTTTTTATTATAGATTTTCTATTTAAACTCCATACTTCTCTTAGTTCACCCCATGTTATAAGTTGACCTCAACTTTTAATTTAAATTATCACAATTTCTAAGAAAACCTCACTATCTTCCTAAACTACTCTTAAATACACCCCAAACTGAAAAAATAAG